CACATACATAAGCCTAACTTATTTTAGAAAGAGCTCTGATAATATCCAGTGATTTAAAGGGGGGAAATCTTGACATTTGATTCAATAGAAAGTTCAGTTCAAAGGATGTTATTATTTAAGGTAAAGGTCTTATATGCTGTGCTCAGTCGTCCAGGTAACCTGCTATAGAAGACAGAAAGGTGAATGGAGGGCTTAAGGGCTTGTTACTAGAGAATTAGTTTTGTTACTGAGGTACATGTGTGATGTGATGTAGTGTAAACCCATGCTACTCAATGTGTCCTCACCGAATAGCATTATCCCATAGCCCGGGGCTTGTTATAGAGTTTCTGAGCCTCGGGCCCTACCCCAGACCCACTGAGTCAGGATCAGCATTTTATTAAAAATGGGAATAATAATAATAATTAAGACATATGGATGTTTTAAGACTTAAATGTGTTAATACATTAAAAGGTTTACAACAGTGCCAGTACATAGTAAGTATTCAGTATTTGTTAATTGCATTTATTTTTTCTCCATTCCTTGGTGTGCTAAAACAAGTCATGTTCAAACAGTGCATTTAGAAGTTAATGTTATCAAATAATTTTGTAATCAGTACATTGGTTAGTAATTTTTTTCCCTTTACAGGCATATTTTGAAAATAGAATATTTTGAAATATTCTAAATATAGAATATTTTGAAATATTCTAAAACAAGTCATGTTCAAAGCGTGCATTTAGAAATTAATGTTATCAAATAATTTTGTAATCAGTACATTGGCTAGTAATTTTTTTCCCTTTGAAAATAGAATATAGAATATTTTGAAAATAGAATATAGAATATTTTGAAAATATAAAATAGAAAATAAAAAGTGTTACTGATGTCTCATTAGGCGTCTCTATAGCCATATTTAAGTATTGGGGCTGTAAAACATTTTTTCAAAATTAAGAAATTTTGTTAATGCATAGATATATGTATATGTATATGTGTGTGTATGTATATATATATATATACATACACACACAATAGAAGACATGCCAGAAGGACATACACCAACATTTTTAATAATATCTGCAAGATCACTGAGAGGCTTTTGTACTTCTTTTGTTTATTGTTTTTCTTTCGTTTATTGTTTTTAAATTTTTATATGACCTTTTATTTAGAGAAATAGCTATACATATTATAAAGCCTTTCTTATTATTCATATTAAGCGACTTTCCTCACTTTACCAACCCACCACCCTAGATGACCACTTTAAAAGAGAAAAAATAAATCCAGAAACTCAACTCTCTATTATCCCTTAACTTCTAACAGATATATATACACATATATATGTAATACACATATATCATATATATTTTATATATCTTTTCACATGGTCTGAAATGGATGTTTATTGTTAAAAGCATGAGGGAATTTTCAACTTTCCAATTTATTTGGATTGCAAATTACTCTATAAAGATAACTTATTAGACTATTACAAAGCAGGGAATATTTTGTAGTCCAATGAAGTCTTTAATTTTCAAATAGAAATGACCTTTATAACTACCAAGTTAAAAGGATTCTCCTAAAAAAGTCTTTGTTGCTAAAATAGTGTCTCCAGTGCCTGCCATGTCCTAGATAGAATTTTCTTCTGAGAAAACCACAGCTACTTATTTTCAGTGGCCTCATTCAAATAAACTTATGTTACTGTAAGACAAGATAAAGGGCATACTGGTGTTCAAAGGTGTGAAATGAATTTTCTTTCCTAGCGTTAGGAAAAGGCAAATACTTTTTTCCTTGAGTTTCAAAAATGAGGTCCGTTAAGGGTTTAGACATTTCAAAGGAAAAAAATGTATTTTCTCTGTTAGACCATATGGAATCTAAGTGAGTCAATGGCTTTAAATTATTTCTAAAACTGAAAATGTCCAAATTTTCTCTAAGTTTAACCATTATACATTTATTGAAAATCCTTTCTGGTCTTTGTTTTTAGAGGAGAAACCAAAACAAAGTTGGCTTAAAAATCTACGTCTGCATTTTTCATTTCCATTAATGTTGTACTCTTCCCAAATAGCTTTTTGAATGTGGTGTCTGGTGCAAAGATAAGGCTTTGAAAGAATGGCAATGTCAAGAATCCTGCAGTCTCAAAGGCCCTAAGTCTTCCATTCCTCAGAGTGACATTTTTCGCAATCGTGAGAGAAATAGTCTCTCTGAGACACCATCAGCAAAATTTCCCATTATGAGACTTTTTACCTCAGTTGTTGCACTATGTAAGCTAAAACTGCTGGTGTCTTGAAAAGCTCACTTCAAGTGAGTGCTTACTTTGGAGGACTTGGCCAATGAATGGGTAGAAGTCGATGATATAAAAAGTATTGTTTCTAAACAGTGACAATACCCGTTTTTTTTGAAAATGTACCCTTTGAACTTCTATTTCTTAGAAAATAAAATACATCCCATTGATTAAAGAGAATCCTGTTTTCTCTTTAAAGAAATCAGAAGGATGCTATTAATAGTAATTTATTTATATCAACATAAATTATCTTTACTTTGAATTATATTTTATTAAATATGGTAGTAAGCTAAAGCAGGTAGAAGAAAAGTGTCAGAGCTTTTGGTGGATTTCTAAGGAGAGTCTTCAATTTCATATTGGTGTCTATATGAGCAAAATGGGAAATTCACTGACTTCTCTAGTTTTACTTAATCTTCTCAAAGGCTATTGGAAGGAAAAAAGTTCTATTATCGCTGAAGAAACACCAGAATCACAGGTGTGACTATTGTCAAACATTTAAAATGTAGTTCCCAAACAGAAAAATCAGAAAGGGCACTTGTTTTTGCATTTAATTATAATACCACAGCTATTTCACATGTCAGGTTCCCTATAAACAGAATTGGACACAGGGATTCTTGAGTACATGATTTATTGAGAAAATGTTCTCAAGAGAAAATCATAGGGAAGTGAGGAAGGCAGGGTAAGACAAGGGAAGAAGCTAAGCTGAAATGTGCTCTCTGCTGGATCCCATCAGTCTGATCCCATCCAGGGAATCGAGGGGACTTGGGAGAGCGAATTGCAGCACAGAAGTTGCCCACCCAGAACCAAGGGACCTGGGCTGTTATTCCCCTGATTTTTCAGTCACTGGGCATGGGTCACCCCCTTCCAGGAATAACCTGCCAGGCACCTCCAGGTGAGGTGGCTCCTATCACCCTGGACTGTCTTCTAGAGAGGTCTGGAGCTGTGAGCCCTTAGCAGCCCACTCCTGCAGCAGGCCTGCAAAGGAGAGCTGGCCAGGACACCAATGGCATCTGCTTGGAGCATGTAAAGATACCTTCTTCTGTGGGCCCTGTACAAGCACTGCTTAGACTAATCCCTCAAAATTCAAGTGCTTTTTGTTTGTTTGTTTGTTTTATTGTTTCTTTTTTCCCTCTGTACATGCCAAGATATTAGAGGAGCAAAGAACTCTAGAAATATATTCATATCTACCATTAGGTATAATTTTCTGGCAGTGTAAAAATGTCCTATAACCTCATTTAATGCATACCACAAAAAAGCATTATTTATAAAACTTTCCAGTCTCACTTGAAATTTCAACATAGAGGAGGATGTATCTATTGGTTTTACAGGATATGTTGCCTGTAGTGTAAATAAGAGCCTGGAAAATTTTACTCTAAGGTTAAATATTTTCCTTTCCTTTCATTTCATTTTCTCTCTTTGTTTCATTTTTTTCTCATGTTCTATTAATTCAACATCTTAGATAAAAAATTTCTAAAATTCTATATAAAAAACAAGGTAATCATAGATGTGTTCAAAAATGTATTTACATGATGCTCACTGAAGATCTGTTTAAAATGTGAAGCATTCCAAATATCCAATAATAGGGAATTAGAAATAAATTATGGTATAGCTATATAACAGAAGACCATCAAGTCATTAAAAGTCGTATCAGAGAAGATTATTATTAACATGGAAAATATTTGCATTAAGTGAAAATAAAAAAGGTAAAAATACCGATTGTGAATTCTATTCCATTTTACAAAAAAGTAATAATTGTACATAATAAGACTGGCTATGTATGCTCCCCATCTTTACAGTGTTATATCTGCGTGGCTTGGATGTTTGAATTACAGGTAATATCTTTGGGGCTTTCTTTTCTCATTTGTATTTTTAAAATTTTCTATGATAAATCTAGGTTTCTTTCAGAATAAGAAAAAAGACTATTTACTAAATAATATCAACTTAAATGGACTTGCTATTAGTTATAGTTATCCAAGTAATTTTCAAGATTTCCCATTTTTTCTTTTTCTCTGAATTAATCCTCAGAATATTCAAATGATATATAAAATAGCTAATTTTTATCACTATTTTTTACTATTAGTGTCACCTCGAATAATCATTCAATTATATTTCACTTTTTTGAAAACCAAAGGATCACCAGTCTACAGAGGCTTTATATTTTTAAACTTCACTTCTAATATTCCTAGATCCTCCCTTAATAATTCTTTACATTATGACATGTAATTTAGAAAAACATGCCAACTATTTTGGGAATATATATTTTAATACATAAATATCCAATATAATAATAATAGTAAACACTTTATGGCCCATACTACCCACATGAGTATTGTGTTAAGTACTTTATGTATTGTAAGAAATCACAAAACACTTTAAAAATTCTGCACTTTAAATTTAAGACAAAGGAAAATACTAAATGAGTCGATGATCACCTTCTTTTCTAAGTTCCTTAATCACCCTTAATCAATATGAAATCATCTAGAAACTTTCATCTGAAACAACAAGATATGTGCTGTTTAATGTAGTCACAAAATAAGACACTGCTATTGGCCCCAGAATGCCACAAGAGAATGAAACATGAAAAAACTCAATCAACCATCTAGATGTTTTGCAAGATGGTGCCAAACTCCATCAAAATGTTTTTTTCAATGTGCTATTTTCTTTCTCCTGAGGTGTGATGTTACATAGGCACAGCCAGCAACTAAGTGTGGAAATCATGCTTAGTGCCATGCATAAGATTAAAATACCCTCTCACCTCTTTCTTTACTTCTTCTTCATCTTCCAGTGTCAAAGCAGCCAGTTGCTTAGCTCTCTGCTCCATCAGATTTACATATCGAATTGGATTTGACAAAGCTTCAATCACATCTAAATAGGGAAGAGACATTTTAGGTCAAAGATCCTAGTGGTATTGATTACCCATCCTCCATCCATCCATTCTTCATCCATCTACTCAACCATCCATTCAACAATTTATCATCCATCTTCTATTCTTCTATCTACCAATCTAACTATCCACTCATCCATCCAACATTTTGGAAATGGACAATAGTCAGGACCCTTTGCTAAAACTTCAGTAAGAGAGAAATCAAAGGAGGTCAGCTCTGAGAGCCAAACTCGACAGGCTCCAAATTAGGATGTCTCAGTACTCCAGATTCTTTTGTTTCTTTTTGAGGGTTCCATCCATTTTCCAGCAATGGCCCACACACTTGTTCTACTTGGCCCAAAAGGTGTTTCATAATGGAGACATCTGACATAAAAAACCTGCTTTCCAGATTGTTGAAACAACCCAAAGATTTGGCAATCCAGGTCTCATTAGCACATGCACTGTCTAGCTGATGCGAGTGATGGCTATCATCTTTGGATGGGGCATGTACTCTAATTTGCCATAGTCTTCACCACTCCCTAGTATATTACACCCAGGCCACTTAACACTATAAGCATTTAAATTTATGGCTCCTGGTTGACGGCATCATAAGTTAATTCCTCTAAACTTACAGTCTACACATGAAAAGAATCAGGGTTCTAAAACTGGCTCAAGGCAAATTAATTGCACAGACCTAGATAGACTCTATAGTAACAGGTAGCATGGTTTAGAAAGCGTTAGGCCTATGAAAATAATACTATCTACCGGTGGATAAATATGCTCAATACTTTATTGGCAGTTGAACTAAATTAAGTTAAAAATTATTCATAAAGGCTTGAGTAATTTACCTTCTAAACATATAAACAAAATAGAGGTGATTCTGAGGTCAGAATTTCTGCCTCCGTTTTCAGAAAAATATGGATGACCCCGGATGGAAATAGGCCTTTGAGTTGAGTTGTTTACCTGCATATGTATCTGGGACATAGTCTTTCACCTCTATGTAGACAAAGACAGCTGGTAGCGTCAGAGGTTGGTTCCTCTCATTCCTCAGACAGATGTAGTGATAGCCTAGAGGGTGACAATAATACTGAGTATCACATATTTTCTTCACAATGTTAGCTATAACACAGGAACATTTATGTGATAGACGTGTTTTATTTTAGGTGACTTTGGATGACAAACAAGTCACTTCTTTCTCATTTTAACCACATGGTTTTGAGTGATATTATATTTTCTCATCAGACAGGAAAATAATGTTCATTCTGACTTTTCTTCTTTCCAATCATGTTTTTCTCCATTAAAGAGAATTCGAAAACCATATGTCACAGATTGAATTATTAGTCCAAATTCATCCTCTACACATGATTTCTTGACTTGGAGTTTAGCCATATGCTCTGCTTTGGACAATGGAATGTTAATGATGTGGTGCATTCAGAGGCTTAAAATGCACTTGGAAAGTCAGGCTTCCCTTTATGCATTCCAGTGGGTTGCCATGAGAAGTCTGTACTATGGGTACCACTGCCCTTCCAGCCTGGGCCCCTGAATGAACACATGTGGAACAGTCCTAAACCAGCCCACAGCATGAAGCACAGTCACATGGCTGAGTCCAGTCAAACCCTGCCAATCCACAGACCTGTAAACATGAAGATAAACACTTGTTATAAGCCATTGAGTTTTCAGATAATTCTTTAATAATCATGTAAGAGAGGCATGATTTTCTTTATAACTTTGATAAAAATTTTCTCACCACACTATCCATACCTGGCCGAATTGCTGGTACTGGCAAGATCCGGTGACCAATAAATTTACCTCCTTCCTCATAAACTGCTATCCTCAGACAGGCCAGAGAAGGAAGAACCACCTATAGGGACATTAAATATACATGTGGTTACAAGAAAAAAACTATGTCAGAAAAGAATTAGAAAGGTGTGATTCAAATAGGGCCCCATTTTTCTAAACCCAAGTAGAAAATTCTACTTAGCTAAATGATAAAAAGTTAAGTTGCCATCTACAATTTAGATTTTCAAAAGAAGTCACCAGAGATACAGCTTCCTGTATGTTTTATGTCTTTATCCTAATGAAGAATTTGTTCAATACATAGACCATTTGCTTTTGACATGAACATTCTCAATGTGAAAATGACAAATGTTCTATGTTTAAATACAAAGAGTTAGTGAGCATTTACTACTATATTTTCAAAGCAAATTACATGTATACTTTTGAAGCGAAAGCAAAAAATAGGCCAACCTTTTTGAACACAATGGGTTCTTCTTCCCAGACAGGATTTACAGCATTTCCTTGTGATGTCTTGGTCTTAAACGCTTTCCTCCTTGTGTCTACAGGCAAGCCAAACATATCTACTTCCACGTAAGTCCCAACTTTCTTATCAGAAAGAAATTGACCTGAAATAATCTAGAAAATAATAAAAAACAAACTCTTGATAAATGAATAACGATAACATAAGAAAATGCATTAGGGATGTACAAATGCTGATGGTGAATGTTGAACCATAATCAAAATGAAATCGATGCAAAGTATAAATATAATGTTTCTTTCAGATAAAGAATTAATAGAAGAATACTAAAAATGTTGGAGTTAAAAGGAGGCAATTAATAAGACAGAGTTTCATGGAAAGAAATAAATGAACAACTACCAAAAGTTTGATGAGATTATACCTTTTGTATTTAAGAGATATCTATTAAATGTTAAAGATTATTTTTTTAGTCAACTGAGTATAAAGGTTTTTGCAATACTTGAAAATGTTACAAGAGAAAAAGCTTATTAGAAGAACAAAGTTGGAGGTATCACACTACCTGATATCAAACTATACTACAAGGCTATAGTAATCAAAACAGCATGGTACTACTATAAGAACAGACATGTAGATTAATGGAACAGAATAGAGAACCCAGAAATATGGTCAATTAATCTATGACAAAGGAGTCAAGATTATACAACGGGTAAAGACAGTTTTTTCAATAAATGGTGTTAGGAAAACTGAACAAATATATACAAAAAATGAAATTAGACCACTTTCTTATGTCATATACAAGAATAAACTCAAAATGAATTAAACACTTAAATGTAATACTTGAAACCATAAAATTCCTAGAAGAAAATGTAGGCAGTAAACTCTTTGACACTGCATTTAGTAATATTTTTTTCGCTATGTATCTCCTTGGACAAGGGAAACAAAGAAAAAAATAAACAAATGGGACTACATCAAACTAAAAAGTTTTTTACACAGCAGAGAAAACCACCAACAAAATAAAAGACATCCTACTGAATGGGAGAAGATATTTGCCAATGAGAACATCCAATAAGGAGTTAATATTCAAACTTTATAAAGAACTCATACAACCTATTGCCAAAAAAACTGAAAAATACAATTAAAAAATGGGCAGAGGACCTAAATAAACATTCCTCCAAAGAGGACATACAGATGGCCGAAAAACATATAAAAAGATGCTGAACTCATTTCTCCTGAATGTTCTTTTTAGCCTGGATGCATGGGTTCTGCAAGCAACAATCTCTCTGTTTAATTTGAAGTTCCACATGAGAACAACTCAACAGACATTTTACAACATGTTTGAAACTTCCAAGTTATGTGAGTCACACTGGGAATTCAGATGTACCAAATATTTTGTGTGCTTATGATGTTTGATCAAAGCAGAAGTCCTTAACTAAATTTAATGATAAGGACTCTCATGTTCTTATCAGTACAAGAGGATGGCGGAATACCATTTGAGCTTGCAAGTCCATTCTGGTACTATAAAGACTACGTCAGAGGATCGAAACAAAGGCACCACTGGACAGATATGAGCCACATCTTGGTTCCAGCTGTAATATAAAAGGCAGGTCTCTACTGCATCACACCTGTCCATTTAGGGGAAACTGACAACTCTAAAACAGTGTCTCTATTCTGGACTCAGGTAGCAGTTTACATTTTTCTGGGACTCAACTGTTTCCCCTCAACTTACTTTCCTGTCTCTATGTCATTGTTTTATAAGCACTTACACTGTCACAGTAGACTTTTCAAGAAAGAATAAATAAGTAAGCCAATATGTATGAAACAAGATGAACTGGCAAACAAAGACAAAATATTATTAGTTTGACCAACTATAACAACATTGACAAGGATCCTAAAAATAACACTATTTGCGTGTGATGCCTGAGAGTTTATCTTAATCAAATGACATAAATTAAACATCCTTTGCTGAAAACAATTTCCTAAAATAAATATAATCTTGAAGCTCTAATTCTGCCAACTCCACTCTTTAGATATATGGTGTGAAATAATTTCGAAAGATATAATTGTGAAACACTCCATTGAAATTTAATTTGTAATCTTCAGTATAAAATGACATAAATTTTAAAGTAAAAATGGGCTCAATAAACCTAGGATAAATATTAATTAGTGAAACTGTTACAGAGTGACTACTTCTTTATGTAAAATAAGTAATGTTCAAGACTTTTATAGGTGACAATTTTATAGTAGAGATGTACGTACCTTAACAGATAAAGTGTTGGCCACTATCCCATCTACAATGCCTTCGGTGAATGGATCGAAATGCTTGTCAGGTCTCCTCATGAACTCTGGCTTTAATCTGTAGCCACTTTTCCCATTGTATTCATACATCCCCATGTTTATCTGCATAGCCAGGTCTGCATATCAGAAACACAACCCTTAATGTGACTATTTAAATTTAGAGCAAGAAGGTAAGATTGTATTACAGTCCAATTTGTCCCCCCTTTAAAAAGAAATATTTATTCACTGTAGAAACTTAGGAAACACGGATAAGAAAAAAAAAAAAAGAAGTTGAGCTGTAATCTACAAATCCAGAGATAAACTATTGCCAACAGTTTGGTGTACATTCTGTTTTTCTACTCCAGATATATTTTGAGCATGCAGTATGTTCATTTCATTCAATATCTGCTTCAATTTTAAGAGCTGTATAAAATTCTTTTGAATAGGTACATTCGAGTAAATGGATTAACACAGGCTCCTCTTTGGACACACTTATAAGTCTCTTCTAAATTTTCACCATTACATACAATGTTTTGATAAACATGGTTGTGGTGAAATCTTTAACGATATCATTAATGATCTTCCTAGGAGTGAAATTTCTGGGTCAAAAGATATGCATGTTGAAGAATCTTTTAAATAAATCTTGCTAAAATACCCGTTAGACAGTTTAAACCATTTTAAATCTTTTATCCATGTTTTTGAGGATGGACTTCCCCACACCTCACCAACAGTGGATGCTATAATTTTCCTTTTATTAATTTATAGAAAAAAGTTTCCTTTCTAAAATCTGCATTCCTAATTACATATTGACTCATTTCTAATGAACGAAGATTACTGGTCAAAGTTTTCCTAAGACCCAGTGTACGAAATGAATGTCCACACTAATTGCAATTACTAGGGTTTAAAAAAACAACATTTTAAAGTAATCAAGAATTTGAGAAGCTGTCATTTATTACAGGTTATCTGAGTCACAACTCATTTCTATTGAGGTGAACAATAAAGAGGTGATGGTAGACGTATTTCAAAGTTCCATAAAACAAATAACTTTTAGAGCAGAGAAAATAAGTGAAATTTTATCTGTTGTGTTATTAAGCTATTATAATTAGAAAAGTACAAAAAAAAAAGAAAATGATGGACTTCTCATACTAAAAAAATTAAAAAGCCTAAAAATTTATGTTAGCAAATCATATGTTTTAAAAAATAATATACAAGTAGACTTTATCCTGGGAACACAAGGATAATTATATATTAGGAGATCTATTAATATAATTTCACATTTTCTTACAAAAGAATCATCATCTCAATAGAAGTCAAAGAGACATTTAATAACATTTAACATACATTTCTAATACACTGTTAGATACTTCTTTAATGTGTGAATATCTGTCTCGTAGTCACAGCCAACATCTACTCAGAGATATCACAAAGGTGAAATTTGTATTAGTGTCAACATGAAGAGAAAGGTGCCCACTCTTAGTACTATTATTTTATGTTATCCTAGAACAGTCAGTCCAAAGTCTTAAGAAAATGGCAACAGTAGATGTGATTAAATTATGATTGTGTATCTGAAAAAACCAATAGAATCTGCTTGCAAATAGACTATGTTATAAGAGCTTAGGAAGATAGTCATTTATAAAATAAGTTTATTTATAATATACATATACAAATATTAATATCTAGAAACAATGTTAAAAACATAATGTTAAAAAAAAGTATCTCATCTAAAGAAACTAGATTTCTAATAAAGATGAGTAATTTTTCCGAGGGACAACATAACAATGCTTAAAGTGAAGAGAAAAACATTCGGTGATTAAAAAAACTAAAAATGTAAGGATGTCAGTTTTCTTCAGATAGATTTATAAACTTAATGTGATTTAATCACAATCTAATTTATTTTTCCTGTGAGGGAGCAGGAAACAATATAATAATTTAAGTAAATTCATCTGGAACAGGAATCTTACTGGCAATGGCAAGAAAACAACTGAAAATTAATAGCCTCGAAGAAGAATTTCCACTTTTAATACAATAATAAGTAATATTATATTAAACATTACAATAATAACAGTGAGTTACCGGTTCCAAGAATGCAGATAAATTTATTGATGGAGAAGAATATAAATTAAAAAAATGGACCCAAGTGAACAACATAAATGTCTATTAAGTTGTAATTCCAGGTCAGTGTTAAAAAAGAATTGATGTCCTACTGAGATTATATATCAAAATTAAATTTGGATAAGTGAAAATGTAAAATTATAAATTACAAAAAAATCCATGAGAGAAAGAGAAATAAAAATGAATCTGGTTTGGGGTGGGGAGTCTTCAATCATAAAAGTAAGCCAAGACTCCATATACAAAACATTAATCTGATCTCATCTGTTTCACTAAATAAGACAACATGACTTTTATATAAAAAGTGCTGTTAAAGATGAATAGGAAAACTGACAATAGTTATGAATAGGCAAGTCGTAAAAGCCAAAATATAAAAATCAAAACGCATTCATAAAAGCCAAAATATAAAAATCAAAACACATTCATAAAAGCAGAAATATAAAAATCAAAACACATTTATAAAAGCAGAAACATAAAAATAAAAAACACATTTAAAACATCCGCCTTCAATAATAATCAAAGAAATGAAATAAAAACACGTGAGATAATATTTTGTCTGAAATTGTATTAATATTATTTATTAATAATACTTAACCAATATGTCAAATGAGTGGGAACACCTCACATAATACATTGTCGGTGGAGAAATCTAGAGCAATATTTTTGATGGACAAATTGGCATTTTGCACAAAGATTCTCAGAACATTCACATCTTTTAATAGAATCGCTCTGAGGAACTTTTCCAAAAGAACATTAGGAGATAGACTTGACAATTTATATTCAAGTCTGTTCTCAGAGCATTATAATAAAAAAAATTCCCTAACGTTCAGTGATAGGAAATGGGTTTTAGTAAATTGTGAAATGTGCTTAATATACAGATACAGAAGTTTCATATGAAGTTTCATATCTGTATATTAAAATGAAAAAGCATGTATATATACATATAGCTTAAAAAAATATTTATAGATTACAAAGCCAAAAGTTAGCAGTGTTGAATTTCTGAGTGGTAGCGTTCCTAGCAGTTTTATTCTTTCTTGATACTTTTTTGAATTTCCAAATTTTCTACAAAAAAAAATGTTACTTTAAAAAGTAGAACAATTTTTTTTGAAAATAATGCAAAACCAGTAGAAATAAAGACTTGTTTACAAGTATTGAAGACAATTTCTCAATTTTCAAAATTCACCTTTTCTTACATTGATGATTCTTTCATTGAAATTTGCTTATATTTGTTTCAATCAAGTCTGGCAACTTCTTCTCCTTGGGAATGGTTTGTGCACACTTGGAAAGGTGACTTCATAACAGAATGGAAATGAGCATGAGCTGTGCTACTTACCCATCGTCTGGAAGTTAAGTGCGACCATTTGACAACCCGCGTTCCAGAAGAGCTGAGGCATATAGTTAGATGAATCCACACGTGTTCCTTTTGGATATATCCTGCTAAGCTGCATTTTGTTATATCTGGACCATCATGTTAAGTAGTGAATACAATTATAAAAACAATTAGCCAAAAATATTAACCGAGAGGCCACCTTCCATCTTTCTCCATTTGGCAAAATGAACTAAATATCGATGATCTCATTGAGCTAGTGGGCGAAATATGTAAAAAGCTTGCCGAACAAACTGAAAAAATATGCTTTTATAATATAAACGTGGCATCACCTTTGCAGAGCCTTGTAGTTGAAAACTAATAAGGTAGCAAAAATGGCTGAGTCAAAGTCAACCTGATTCTGGGGAGATTACTAAGGACAGGGTTAGGGACTAGGGACACACAAGGGAGCTCAAACGTGTCAAGTCATGTGAGAATGATACTGTGTTTGGCAGAAACAGATAATATGAACTGTATGGCTATTTTTCAAATGCTCTCTGCATATAGTTATCTTTGGGAATGTTAACAAGGTGAATATAGCTCAGAAGATTTTGACCTCATTTTGTATTTTGGTTCCTACTGTCATCAGTTTTCCATCCTGAGAAACTTTTAGTTATTGAACAACTATATCTTTAAAACACAAATGACTGTTCCTATCACCAAGTTAGGCAGAGGTTAGTTAGGGTTCTGAGCCTGGGCTGGGGCGTAGGCCAACTAGAAATTGAACCTTAACTCCCGAACTTGCCAGCTGTATAGTCTAGGTCAAATTATTTTACTTTTCTGTGCCTCACTTTCTATATTCTGTATTTCTATAAAATAGATTGAACATTTTCTATATCATAGGACTTTTGTAAGTATTAAATTAAACATATAATAAAAGCAGTATCACATAGACAGTTACTTAATGAATACTAATGATTATGATTTTTATAGTGTGACTGTGTTTATGGAGTTTACATTTGTTCTCTCTCCTATTGATGAATTTTAAAACAGACTTTTTATTCCAAAACTTGCTTCATGAAATTGAGCTCTTTGGGACATTTAGTATTAATTTTATCAAAAATATTTAAAGACCTGTTTCATTTTATTTTGGTTCATGGATAATAATAAAAAGATTTTGTTGTCAGAAGTATTAACAAAACCTTTATTAGTAATATATACTTACATTCTCATATCATTGTCCCAACTATTTTTTGATTGAACATCTATTACATATCCAAGATGTAAGATGTCATCAGGTTTATACACACACACACACACACACACACACATGCACACACACACACACACACACACACCCTTTACACATATCTTATACAGGTATAAAGTACACACATACACACTTTACATATGTTGTCCCTCACCTGAACAGCTAGCCATAAAGTGGTATCATTATTTTGTTTTACAGACAAGAAAATTCAGAAGGGTTGAGCAAATTGTCAAAGTACAGAGAGCTTGATGATGTAAAATTAATCTTGAAATCCTTTACTCCAAGTCCGGTTCTCTTTTCCATAGGCTAGGCTACCCTATTCAGAGTTGCATATGAAACCTGTAACTATTTATCATGCTCAGGTGACTGGCTTAAGCCATTTCATGCATTCTTCTTCTGCTTATTTAAAACAAAAATTAAATAGCACATGACTTCAGTTGTGCTAATTCAGTCGGCATTCGTCAAATCAAGGATACTCTACAAATTCCACTGGAGACTTCGTCAGTTGCTCAAGTCCTTTGGTTTCCACAAAAGAAGACATTTCAAAACTTCTATTTCTTTCTAAGTTAATAACAACAAAAAAAGTGAGAAATAAATTCAATGTTATAAATTATAACATAAAAGAGGTAGGCAAATATTCGGTGAATTTAGGGTGCTTAATTTTCAATGTGACCTTCATATTTCTTTTTCTTTTTTTTCGGTGAACTATTTACCTGCAACAAAAATTGAGTCTTGTTAGTTGTTTCTTCTAGTATGTACTACCTGGGCCAGATATGCTTATGATTATACAAGTTAGGGACATGGTGGCATTAGCATGGAGAAATTAATTTTAGGCCCTTCATACATCTTTTGTTCTAATTCCAGATTGACTTCTTGCGGCCATTGCTGAGGATTAACAAAAGAAACCTTGGGTATGTTTCCTAGAAGCTGACAATCTCTTTTATACCCACAATTGTCACCCGCCTCAGTTTGTATGTACCCTTCAGTTCAAACAACTAACGTGACACTAGAATTATTGTATTTCAGAGCAGAAAGATCCTTGGAAATTTCCCAGTCTGATGGCCTCATTTTCAGGTTATATAACAGGGTCAGAGAGGTGAATGTCCTAGATGTCTTAATATTCTTGAACACAGAGCAACATCCTGAAAGTGAAATCAAAGCTTCCAATTAAAGTGAAAGCAACAAAACAAAGTTTTCTTAGTTTGGAAAGATTAAGAGTCAAACAGCTTCTCTGTCCAATTCCCAACAAAAAAATCAAACTGTTATATATAGTATTAAGACAGGTGTCATCCAGAGAGGTTAGATACCACTCAGTTTTTAAAACTGAGTTCCCTTTGAGGCCTTTTCCCCTCTTTGACACCTATGTTCCACAATTAAAGCCTCACACTTCTTCCTAATCATTCCCAGACTACTTTCCCTATTTCTTCACATTTCTGAATTTAATAATCTGTAAGGTAAACTCTTCTCTTATTTTTGCCTATCAAAAATCTACTTTCATATGACTATTTGAGTCATGACTGCTAATTAAAATTAAGTCCATTTAATAGGTGCTTTGTAAAATATGTGCAGTACCATTTTTTTAAAAAAAGTGATAAAATAATATCAAACACAAGGATAAAAGCACTTGTTTGTAAATCTTCAGCTCACACCCTTGTTACCAGGTTCTGAAGGACTCAAATGCATCAGCTCCTCTAGGAGCTTTTGACTCATGAATTAAGAAAGCTCATTTTACAGTCAATGAAATTTGCAGTAATACAAAAAGGACATTCCAAATTCAACAACCAGTGCTAAGCAGCATCGGTAATTGTTAACATCGAAGAAAATGTTGAAATCTTTATATATAAACTGTACTGGAAATTAAATTCTCTATTGTAGAGATCTAGATACCATATGCCACTAAGTTAGGACTCTGGGTAAAATTATACAATTATACATGTGTGTTATGTAGAAGCTTAGACTATGATATATCTGTAAAACTATCCTTTATAAAAGGCTGCTGTGTTGAAGCAAAAATTTAGTTTTTAAGAGCAAAGGCTTAGAAACAGCTAAAAAGTCCCAAGGATTCTCTTAACCTGACAGCATCTTACATTTCATGCAATTTCATAAAAGGGCTCTTTTCCCTAGGTGGAGGAAAGATATATATATATTTCTTGTACCTAATATGGATATGTAGTTGGATGAAAAGAAAACATAAAGTGATACAAAGCTAATGATTATTTTCCTAAATATATAAAACAGACTGGACAAATGGAATGTGGGTGAATTGGTTGATCTGGTTCTATTTCTAGTTATCAGGGCTGAACACTCTCTGGCTGCTTCCTTTCTAGGGGCCGGGTAGGTAGTTTATTTCAACACTGTCCCTTATATAGTGGGTGGAGTCCACTGTGTTGTTGCAAACAAAAAACAAATGTGAAACTCTCAGTCAGCTGTACTCTGCTCTAATGTCTTTCTGGTAACCATGTATAGCCCCTAGTCCTAGTAAGCATTTTGGAGAAACATCAAGGAATACTTTCTCATATAGTTATTAAAATATGTATGACATGATATGATATGATATAATATATAATATATATATATACCTGATAGGCAACTCATGCATATGTTAAAGACTTCACCAGCACAGAATAGTTTTATGAAGGGTAACGTTTCAGTCTAATTACCATTTGTTTAAAATATACTTTTATATGTTACATTAGAGGTTTCTCTCCAGGAAAACTTACTTTTTGAAATTTCAAATGACTCAAACTTGACTGGCTGAATATAGTTCACCAGGTTAGACATCTCTTCTGTGGCCATAGCCTCGCTCCCAGCAGTCCCCTGAAAGCATGGATAAAAATAACATTTCCAGAGTCAACGTTATATTATTGATGGTTATTTTCCCAGGGCAGTGATCACGTGACCCATGAGAGCAGAAAATCATCCTTCCTCTTCTGAAGATGATTATTACCAATAGAAAGTTCATTACAGGAGGAAGAAAAAGCAAAACCTCACTTTACCCAAGTGTGAGGCGGGATGAAAGAGGTCTGGGGGCAATCCCCAAGTTCTCTGGGACCAGCTGCATCAGCCTCTCCTGGAAGATCCTTAGAAATGAAGCAAATTAGAATCTGCATTTTACTACAGTCATTCAAATGCACAGAAAAGTTTGAAAAGCACTGGCTACAAATACAACTCATCTGCCATAGCAAAGTCCATAGAGAATGTCTCAAGTTAATAAATGAAGAACTCACTGTACAATGAGAAAATTAGCACATGGGTAACCACTAAATGAACTAAATTTATTTATTTTTTAAAAAAGGTTACCTTGCAGAAATGGTTTGGGGTAGGCAAACAACTATTCTTTTTCTTTATATAAACATCCCTTCTTCCCTCCCTTCATGGTTCCCGTGTGCCTATTAGGCAAACAGTAAAGTATAATGTAGGGGTAAATAGCTCAGGTCCTAGAGCCAGATTCCCTGATATGAAGTCCCAAACCCTCCACTTAGAAGCTGTGCCATCTTGGGCAAGTTACTTAACTGCTCTGTGCCTCAATGTACTCATCTGTAAAATTAGGATAAAATCAGTTCCTTTAGCATATAGGGTTTTTGCGATTATTGAATTAATTAATTTATGTGAAAAAGCTCAGAGCACTGCTTGGCACATAGTAAAACCTCATGTTACTTTAATTATTATTAGCTATTACATATTATTTTGAAAGAGTTTTTGATAAAGAAGAAAACGAACACTGAAATATTGTTATAGACAGACTTCTATAGATTAATATATTTTCTCCTACTTTTAAATGAGAAAATGTGGAGACAAGGTTGCTTTTGAAAACTCCTGTAGCAATATTAAGTTAAACATTAACTGAGAAGTATTCATTAGGAAATGGACCATCTATTTAGTCAGACAATTTTTAAATTATAAAAATTCACTGATAAAAATTTATAAATAATTAAAATAATTCTCAAGCAGAAATACTTTACCAGGCATTGTAACAATTTTCTTCCCAAGACAGTAACTTGGAATTTAGTAGGAAACATAGTTAAAAATTTAGATTTCATTACAAAAAATATTTATGAGGAAGAATATCAAGTAAGAACAGTATCTTATTTGTCATTTACCCTTGCTTACTTAATTGTGAAGATTTAAGTACTGAGACAGATACTTTCCAACATATTTGAAAACAGATTCAGTATAATTTTTTTGAGCAGGACTGCTGCTAAAACAAAGTTCTAAAATTCCAATTGACCTAGCTCTGATTTACTTCTAGATTCTGTGCAATAACATTTCTGAGCCCATGAAGTTATGTGGGATGCTTGAGCTTATGTCAATAGGTATCTTTAGCAGTTCCAAAATTGTCATATTTCTGAACATTTCTCCAAACCTCACATCTTCTCTGAACTTGGACCATTTGACGATCGATTTACTTGTCTTAAAAACTGAAGCAGGCAGTTGTATGTCACGAATTGTGAATTTACCGTCTAGGTATCCCATTTGGTGAAAGGTAATCTCAACATCATTGTTTATTCTAGAGAACTTTTCTCAATGCCCTGCTTATTCCTTTAGTGACCTAAGTCTGCATCATTTTGTTTACAGGATAGTGAAAAAGTTTTAAGGTGAACTGTGACTTTAGACCACTAGATGGCAGAAGGTGATCACGGACTATATCCAGAGGCCTGGCAAATGAGCAGAATGCCTCTGACTAGAGGTCGAGCCCTAGACACCTACCTCATCCATTGAAGATTTTTTACAGTCATCATCATCATCGTCATCGTCACTCTCTGTATCAGCTTCCCCTGTCAAATTTTAATAAAAAATCATGAAGTGAACATTTACAGGTTTGAGGCACACATAACATATGCATTACCCAAAATTTCCTTGGAAATTGGCCTTTCACGGTTTGTTTTAAAATTATTCTTTTGGGTGTTTAAATTTTATAAATTATAGAGAATTATACTGACGATTTGAAGTGGACTTTTTTCCTAAATTTTATTCGTGAATACCATTTGAAATTTCCAAATTCCATAAAAAATGCTTAACATTTTTTATCTTTATTTAAAAAATATGGCATGTACAGTTAGTTTTCTATGGTACATGTATCCTTTCTTGATGTATACATTCTCTTTCAGGGTCTGTATAACCCTAAAAGAGATAAACTGTCACTTTCCCATCTTTCTCTCTTTTTCTCTTTCCTGATTCTTCAATATGATGTTTGGCTAGCACTCAGTGACCTTGCGATTACTCTTCCAAGGCCATAGAGGACCTCGCAGAAGTCAAGAAAGAGGATACGAGCTGGTGCAGGAATGGTGGGGCTATGATAATACACTTGACTATACAAAAACAGTTAAGGTACCAATTGTATCCTATTATTTGCTTGCAGGCTTATTTGCTGAATATATTCTTGTCTAAACACTATACATACAGTATCTTGAAAAATGGTAAAATTCTATTTAAAAGGGTAGGATAAAATGAGTGAATTCTTAAAATCATTCTGCATTATGGAAATCTAGCATACTCAGACATAATTCAGCTTCAACAGTCGTTTCAATGGGTTGTTTTTCTCTCTGAAGATTTGGTGGATGATTCTGCTAGATTAAATATTTTCACTAGTATGAAGCATTAAACTCTTCTACATCTCTGGGCCTTAATCAGACCCAGTAATAACAGTTATGTAAAAAGATTTTCAAGTAAAAAAGGCATAGTTCTACATTGATTTGAGTACTTCTGAGTTCACATGGTGCAATAGCATGACAAGCCCAGTAGATGGCAACACTGGCTCAACAATGAGTCAACTTGCATTGACAAGTATCTCTCGCAGTCTTCTGAAACTTAGCTAGCTGCCCTACTCAATCTATATAAATGACACAGTGCCCACGGCACTTGTCTTCCAAGAAGCTTATAAATGTATTCATTTTGCTGATGAAGTTGAATCGATTACTAAATGACAGCCATGAGCAAAGTATTCATGAAGTATCTTTAAAGGGAAAAGATGACTGGGACAAACAAGGCTTATTATTTATGGCTTTTTCAATTAAAGAGAGCCACATGCAACCACTTTATGAAGCTGATATTGTTTTAGTTAATAAGGTGAATCCACTATATTTTAGATAGAAAATATGTCTTATTTTGTTAGGAATACATTCTTTTAAGAGGTTGAAACAAAATTTGTTTTTTTCTTTTTTTAAAAAAATGATTTATTATTATTTATGCCTACAACACCTGGTCTTCCTAGGTAGTCTCCCATCCAAGTACTAACTAGGCCCGAGCCTGCTTAGCTTTATGAGATCAGACATCAGGTTTGTTCAGGGTGGCATAGCCATAGACCATGGACCATGGCTCCACTGCGGGGTGAACCCAAGACCTTCTGCATGTAAAGCAGACATGCTAACCGCTACACTATGGAACCACGTCCCAAAATTTGTCCCAAATATTTACTGCTCCAAGTTCCTGTGACTATTTTTCATTGTTTAATTAGAGAGGAGCTTCTTTTTGTCAAGTAATTTAAAAAGTTATTTTGCAGAATCTTCTGCACAATGCTTCATGGGGCACAACAATAAACCAGTCATTTTAAATAATCAGGTCATTCTTTGGTTCATGCGAGAAAAAAATAATTTGTCTTCCTTCACTCTATGAGCAGGAACCTGCTTGTTCCTTTATAAATCTTTGGAGGGATGTTGGAGGAAGCCTGTTGAACCATAAAAAAATCTTACTTCAAAAAAAGTCTTTAAGACAAGTGTGCTGGCAAAGGGCTGAATCCTGTAGAGGCACCTGGCTAACAAGGGCCATGAGAAATAAGTTAGCTTTGAAATAAGAACCATTTCATGTTTTTCAAGTTACTTGAGTTCCCAATACTGAGAACAACTACAAACCAAATGGTAAATTAACAGTGCTCTTTATTCAGGGGCCTACCTACATATTAAAATGTCCAAAATTTTCCATTGAAATAAAAAAAGATTGCGCAACAGAATATGGGGCTATCTTAGGAAATCTACCGATTACTAACAGATTGCTGCTCTTTCTCTGCATTAAGCAACAATGTTCACTGCCTCTAAAAACCATTATTTGTATCATGCATCCAGTTAATAAGGGAGAGAGCTGGTAGTGGGAACAGCAGATGGTAAAACAAGCTCCCACAGGCAAAGGAAGACATGGTTTACTTGCTAGCATTCAAGGAGTAGAATTGAGCTTGGAAGTAGGTGGCCTATTAATAATATTCATTCCAAAACTTCAAAAAGAACATTCTTACTGAGAACAAAAGTTATTTTTGAAAAAATGTAAGAACTGTATAATAATGTTTGAAATATACATTCAAGAACTACCAAAAAAAAAAAACTTTCAAAGAATTATATAATATTTGATAAGGATTTTAATCTTAACAATAAAAGGAATTGACAATCAAGATAGAAAAATAGAAGAAAAAATAAATTAGAATCTTAGCCAACCTTTTTTTTCCTGATTGCCATAGAGTTTATATTTTAATTTTAAAAATTATTTAAAAATATTTTAATTGCTGTATGATGCATATTCAGAGAAGTATGGATTCCATACGTGTACAGTGCAATAAATTTTCACCAGCTACATAGGTTTAGTAACTAGCACCCAGATCAAGAAACAAAATATAACCAGTCTCCAGAAGACCCCTTTAGCCTCCCCTCAGTCACTTCTTCACCAAGGGTCACCATGTCCTGACTTTTAACAGCATAAGTTAGTTCTCTCTGTTTTTGTACTTTATATAAATGGAATCACACAGTAGATACTTTTTTTGTATCTGACTTCTTTTGCTCAACATTATGTTTCTGAGATTCATCCATATTGTTGTGTGCAGTTTTAGACTTTATAGCTGCATAGTATTCCATGGTGTGAATGTACCATGATTTATTTCTCTGTTGATGGGCATTTGGTTGGTTTCCAGTTTGTGGCTGTTCTGAATAGTACAGCTTTAAGCAATTCTTGTGCATGTCCCTTGAACATCTATGTACATGTCTGTTGGGCATATACTTAGAAATGGAATTCCCTCAGGCATGGGAGGTGCATATGTTCAGCTTTTGTAGATACTGCCAAGCAATTTTCCAAAGTGATTGTTCCAACGTTAGTTAACTTTTCATTGAAGAACTTTCTACATTCAAACTTAAAATTTCTTCCACTGTCCACCCTCCAACCAGGAGATCTTTGCAATGTACTTTTCAGATTACTGAGATTCTGACTAAACATGAAAAATAGACTAAATCACAAATAAGTCAAAGGAAATCGGTGACCACTTAGAATTCTTTTATCATCAACCACAAAAATTTATTACTTCAAATTAAATCTAAATGGAAAATTAATGATGTTAAGCATCATCCAGTAGCTTTGACAGATATTCAAGTAACTTTACCATTTCACATTTTAAAAGGGTTCTTTAAAATATGGATAAACAGAATTGCCCAGAACTCTTCAGCATCACCAATGAGAACAAATTGGGTGAGCACCTTGTGTCCAGTCTTATAATTAACGTCAAGGGATCATTGCCTTTGAGAAGCTTAAAATCATGAGGTCATTCCAAAGATTATTTGGTTTATGTGGTAGCCAGAATCATAACCTCCCAAAAATGTCCATGTCCTGTGACTTTGTCCTGTGTCCTGTGACTACATGTCCTGTTAATACATGTCCTGTGAATACACAGCAAGAAGGGCCTTGTAGATGACATTAAGTTAAGGACTTTGAGATGGGGGGAGATTATCCTGGATTATCCGGCTGGGTCCAGTGTAAAGATACAAGTTATTAAAAGCAGAGAACCTTTCCTGGCTGTGGTCAGCGGGAAATGAGGGCCAGCGAGATGTGACATTGCTGGCTTTGAAGATGAAAGAATGGGGCCATTAGATGACAAATGAGGGTGGCCTCTAGAAGCTGGACAAGGCAAGAAATAGGATTTCCTAGTGTCTCCAGAAAGGAACGCAGCCTGTGGCCCCCTGGAGTCTAGCCCAGTAAGACTGCACGGGCTGACGTGGGGGATAAGACATTCGTGTAGTTTTATGCCACCGAGTTTGTAGCAGCAAAAGAAAACCAATGCAGTTTAAAGCTGCGCCCAAACAAGAATGTGAAAAGTCCTTATGAGCTAATTTCAGAGCAGCAATTCTCAAACCCACACATAATAAGGGAACAAGAGCCTGCCAGCTCCTTACCTGCCCCAGGGGACGAGGGCTCAAACACACTGGAAGAGTCGCTGTAAGTGTTGGAGGCTTGTTCTGAGAGCTTCTTTTTGTTGCTTCCTTCTGATGACTTGTGCGATTTCTTCTTATTTTTCACCAAAATTTTGTACATTAAATCCATAGGGCTTGGAAGAGGAACTCCAGATTCCAGCTAATGGGGGAAAAAAGAAAGCAGATTCTTTAATGACATTCCCACTTCCTTTCAGATTCTCTCTCCAACCCCTGAGGACAGCTTTGCATACCAAGGGCTTCTAGGTCATTCTTTATCACCGGTACACTAAGTGTGTCCTGCAACGGGGCTGGTGCATAGCCTTTTTTTTTTTTTCCCCACATAAAAGGTATATTTTGACTTCCACTTCCTTTCAGAATCTCTCTCCAACCCCTGAGGACAGCTTTGCATACCGAGGGCTTCTAGGTCATTCTTTATCACCCGTACTAAGTGTGTCCTGCAACGGGGCTGGCGCATAGCCTTTTCTTTTATTTTTCCCACATAAAAGGTATATTTTGACTACTGTACTCATTTTCTCACAACGAAATCCACATGAATAAGATCACGGAAATGCACTAGTAGTAGATCGGGTGTGCTAACATGAAGTTTCATGAGTTTTCCAATGGACTATATAAATCCAATCATCTCGATTTAGGACAGATAAGGGGGCCCTGGCCTGGATTTTCAGAGGAGGGAAGCCAGGTAAAGTGGTGTCTGCCAGGAAGTGTTGGGAAAGACAAGCAAGAGCTTCCAGGCAAGTCTGTAGAATGCAATTTAAAAACAGTGCCCTCCTGGCACTAGTAGTTCAGTTGCAATCTCACTGGCATCAGCAGAAGTGGACCGGGTGGCTTCAGATTTCCTTGCAGCCCTGAGATTCAAGCTACCCTTCGTTGCAAGCCCATTTCTAGTGTTTCAAGTTTGCACATCTAGTGGGAAAATCAATTTCCCCTGAGGAGGTTATTAGATATTGTATCAGAAAGCACACACGCAAGCCCCAAGATGGGTTATTTTTAGAAAGTATAGTGAACTCCCGTAAGTTGTTCCCGTATTCTTTGCTTTCAGTGAGTCTGGGGACCGGTATGAAATTATGTAAGATGTGAGGAGACTGGGAGAAGGGGTCGGAGAGAGAAGAGGCTACTTTAGGGTATTTCTGCTGTTTTCTCTCCCCAAACAGGGATATTTCCATGGTAACAGGACGCCTGAGTTCTACACCAAGAGGCTCATGCAAGGAAGTGAACAGTGGCCAGCAGGGACAGGCCAGATGTCATTGTGCCTCTGGCAGTGTCCCATTTAGCTGACCCATTTCTCTCAAAGGGGTGCGATGAGGTGATCGGAGCCCTGTCCTCTCGGACTGTCTCTGTGGGCTGATTGTGATTATGGGAATACTGCAGTCCTGACTGGGTCACATCTAGCAGTGAGGGAGGGAGAAGACTGTGGGCAGAGGAAGAGAGTGGAGGCGCGTCTCCCACCCTCAGCAGGGCAAACTGCTGGCATCCTCCTCGTCAAAGGGCTCAGTATTAACTGCATCATCTTACCAAGAAAAATAAATGTGGAAAGGATGTAAGGAAGCCTCCTCCTCACTCCAATCATAAATAATATGTGTGCTCCTTCAGGGGTAAACAGCAAAGCTACTTACTGGGTATTTTTCCAGTGGCTCCATGAGAAGGGCATCCCCAAAGATCAGTCGGCAATACTCTGCCATCTTGGCTTGCTGCTTTGGGCTGAGGGAAAACGAGAAAGAAAGGAAAAAGAGCAAGGAAGCTTATTCATGAGGTCAGACAGGAAGGATTACTTCGCGTTATTCAGTACAGAAAGAGGGAATGCCCTCATCCTGCCCTTCAGAATTCATTCGTATCATTCTAAAGTCCTCGTTCACTATCCTGCCTTATGTGAATGAATACCACGGACAGGTGGATGGCAGAGCCTATTCCCAAGGCTGACCTGCATAGACACAGATGGAGGGGATGACAGGTCATTTGCCTGTCACTGGATTCCTGAACGTCCTAGAGTTAGAGATTCAGTCCCTTTTGTTTAATTTTCTGATTCTAAGTCAAATGCAAGACACTTGGGGGCAGAACTTGTTCATGACTTCATGTGAATTCTTGGGTGAAATTTGTCCAAACAACAGAGTGAACTATGCTGCAAAGGAGCATTTAAAAGGAGGTGAGGAAGGAAAGGAAGGATGTGGGCAGAGAGGAAAGGAGGGAATGAAGGGGATGAATGGGAGATGGGGAGAGAGAGAGAGATGGGGATAGAGAAGGGAAGGGGGAGAGAGAGAGAGAGAGAGAGGGGGAGATGGGGAGAGAGAGAGAGAGAGATGGGGATAGAGAAGGGATGGGGGAGAGAGAGAAAAAGAAAGAGAAAGAAAGAGAGAGAGAGAGAGAGAGAGAGAGAGAACATATCTCAAAATGTAGGAGACAAAGGGCAGACAGGCAGAAGTGTGTCCACTTGGGAGCGGGTCCTGGAGGAAAAACAAAAGCAGCAGGCACCTTGGGGGAAGGTGTCTGCGACTCTTATTGCCTGACAGGGAGGCAGAGGCGGTGTCAGCTTGACTATGCGCCAGCAGGAACCTGGTGTGATGGCAAAAGGCCGCAGCTGCAGCGTTTGCTGCGCCGAGCTCCAGGCTCTCAACTGTTCTTGATCTGTAAAACGAAGAGGGTAATAACTGTTCTTGGAAAGGGTCGGAGGATGCTGAGAAGAAGAAGTGAAGGAATGAATGAAAACACCTTTGAAACTTTAAAAGATCGGGCAAACGTAAGATGACCCATGTTAGCAGACAGCACCGCCAGCCAGACTAGACCACTCCTGTGTCTGCTAACAAAGAGACATGGCTGATACGAGGACACATCCACGTTCTTCCAATACTCCCGCTTCCCTTGACCTTTCACAAAGCAATAAAAAAATTTTTTTTCTCATTCTGTAGAATGTTAAATATCAGTATAAAGGTGTCTAATTCCATCGGGTTTTATGGACTGTGATTTTGATCTACAGGCTGCCAAACTCGCTTTCCAATAGCTGTCCCCACGTGCCACAACGTCAACGCAGCCTAGCAGACCTGGGACTATCGTGAGAATAAGTGAGTGACAAGCCTCTCTTCAGCAAGTCCAAGCAATTATAAAATGTTATCGTTTTCACTCGCTCTTCCATGACTGTTAAATCTGGATTGTGGTCTGTTTTTTTTCTGGAAGGGGGGTTGCTTTAGGGGTTCAAATCATACTGCAATGGTCCACAGGGAAAAGTACTCTTTATGCATCCCTTTAAAAAAAACAAGGCATCTATTTTGGGGGTCGATTGAGTTTTCTGGGTTTCAAATATGAGTCCGAGGTCACTGCTTTCCTGGAATAGCAGGGAGAGGTAAAGGAGAGATTCACAGAACTTGCAAGTCCCTTTATAACCACCTCCCCAGTTCCCAACTTGCCTTTCTAGACCCATATGAGATTTTAGTACATGGCTTATGCAGCCCTAAAATATACTGCAGCATTCCCCAGCAGTATCAGGGAGGCAAAACCTGCCAGTCAGAGAAGTGATCCTGAAAACACTGGGGATGCAAGTTATTAGAAGTTGGAGAGCAAGCAGAGATGTGTTTTTTCGGCATTCTCTGTTCAGACATCTTTGCTCAATGGATAAGTGGCCTAGAGACTCAACCAAGCCAGGTGGCTCTGTGGCTGTAGCTGAAACAAGCCCGCCTGTGCTGGGCCCAGAAGTTGCAGGTTGCTTACAGAAAACTGTCCAAACCCTCCGTTTCAGATTCACAGAATAATGCTGTTAAATGTCACAGAGCTTTGCTACTCCAAGTGTGGTCCCCGGACCAGCAGCATCAACAGCACCAGGAGCTGATTAGAACTGCAAATGCAAGGCCTCCGATGCAGATTCTGAATCAGAATCTCCGGGGAAGTGGGGACTGGGGTCTGTTTTAACAAGCCCTCTAGATGGTTCTGATGCATGCTCAAGTTTGAAAACTGCTGTGATAGATTAAAGTAAGTCAACAGGTGCTGAAGTAGATGACATTTTTCTTGAGTGTTGGAACATGGGACCCCCAAGCTCCTTTGATCAGAGACCTGGAGTGAAGAGAAAGGTTTGACCCTAACGCCCTGCTTTCTGGATTACTCAGGGAACGATAGATATTCTCACCAGTAGAGGGAGATGGTCCAGGTGTCCCTAAGCAGGTGACGGGCAGAGTTCTCTGTCCTCTGTCAGGCAGTCCCCAAATCAGGCTCGAGAAGGAATTTGCTGGGGGACAATCTAATTCGATTCCACTTAAGAATCACCTAAAGCTGCTAAAACTACAAGTGGCTTAGTTCCCAGTCTCCTGATTCAGAGTTGGGAGTGGAGCCCTGGAACCTGCATTTGTAACAAGCCGGCAGGTAATTCTCATGCAAGTGGTTAGCAGACTGCGGTGTTTAGAGCAGCGCTCTAATATTTCATTCAAATCACCAGGGTCTTAAGAAAACGACAATTGGGAGGCAGAGTCTGGGATGGGGCCTGAGACTCTGCATTTCCAACAAGCATCCCAGTGATGCTGGTCCCTGGATCAACTGAATTTTGTACAGCAAGGATCTATGTCTGACCTACATTTTTAAAAACCTGCCTCAAAATCCACTGAGATGGAGAGAACAAGAGGTAGTTATCCAAGAAAAAAGTAAAATGCGCTATTTGGTAGTCAGACAATTCATGTTCTCCACAAACACACATGTCCACCTGACAAGAAACTAAATCAGAAAAGAGAGCGAACTAAATAGAAAAGGTCAGTGGGAAACAACCCAACTGGAATTGTGGGTTAGAACTGCAAAAATAAAAGGCATTAAAATTGCAATTAGAGAGCAAAAAAAAAAGAAGAAAGAAAGAGAGAGAGAGAGAGAGAGAGAGAGAGAGAGAGAGAGAGAGAGAGAGAGAGAGAGAGAGAGAGAGAGAGAGAGAGAGAGAGAGAGAGAGAGAGAGAGAGAGAGAGAGAGAGAGAGAGAGAGAGAGAGAGAGAGAGAGAGAGAGAGAGAGAGAGAGAGAGAGAGAGAGAGAGAGAGAGAGAGAGAGAGAGAGAGAGAGAGAGAGAGAGAGAGAGAGAGAGAGAGAAAGAAAGAAAGAAAGAAAGAAAAGAAAGAAAGAAAGAAAAGAGAGAAAGAAAGAAAAGAGAGAAAGAAAGAAAAAGAAAAAGAAATCTTGAGGCATTTAGGGCATCAACAGTGGCTACCATGGAGATGAGGTGAAAGGAAATAATTCACAAATACATTTTGAGCTTCAGGCCACAGCAGACACATCTGGACATATTAAAATACCTGCAATGTTTTGGTGAACTGTAGGCACCTGGCAAAGTGGTCAGTTCTCTGACCTAGGAATGTGCCCCATTCCATGGGGTAAGTCTTCCAAGCTGAACGAAAGCAACCTCCTTCTCTGTAGATGAAGAATGTACAATGCATGGAGATTAAGAACTTTGTCCAAAATCTCACGTTGTCTGTGGCTGAACCATGGCTAAAGGTTACTTCCCTAGACTTCAGTGTAGAATTTCTTTTATGAGAGTGCTAGTTCACAAATTAGATGGCACATCAGAGTTAACTAGGGCCTTACAAAGTCTTATTTCTAGCAATTCGCATTCAGGAGTGGGGGCAGGTCTTAGGAATCTGCATTTTATGGGATTCTGACATGGCAGGTAGAGAAGGATAAGTTGCCAGCAGCTAATGGCAGATTCTCCTTTGTTGTCCACAAATAGGTGATTTCAAATAGAGAAATACCAGAAAGTTCAGTGGATTTCTTTTTTTTCCAGTGTGAGTTTGTTTTGGAGGTGTGGCTCAAATGAACTGGGACCAGAATTTTGAGACCAGCATTTTGCATCTGCAGTACACAGGAGAATAAAATGGTTCACTAGAAATGGTAAATAAATTTCAGACGTTTTTGATAGGTGTGTTCCTGAGTCACTGAGTTGAGAAGAATTCTGAGGTTATATCAAAAAAAAAGAGTGTGCTGCAGCTGATGTATGATGTGTGCCACCAGGTTTAGCAATGAGGCGAGGTGGCTCACGTGTCAAGCAAAGCGTTTACCAGCAAAGGGAAAGCTTATCGGTTTTCTCTGGGTGTGTGACAGTCCTCCCAAAAAAGAATTGTGGCTGAGCAATTTCGATACGTGGAGCTCAAGGACAACAGAAATATGAAGCAACTTCCTCCCACAACAGAATTATCTTTGTATTTTACTGCCATGAGATTATCTCAATAGTTTAATAATAAATATCATGGCATCCTGGGAAGGCCGTTTTCCTGTTTTCTTTTGCCATGTATGAATTATTAATAAACTTTTAATAGCTAAATTTCTCATTTTTAAACCAGAAAGAGTAATATTATGGCATTATCTCTGTGTGTGTGTGTGTGTGTGTGTGTGTGTGTGTGTGTGTGTGTGTGTGTGTGTGTATACAATGTAAGGCTTAGTTTTCATGCCCACTTTTGGCTCTCTGTATGACTGGTGTTGAAGACTGCATGAAATGTCCTGTGGTTAAGGGCACAACCACATAAATGTGAACGTTTGCAAGCAGTTGCCTGATGGATGCTCTGGTTGTCTTCATTCAATGTTTTAAAGGCTTGTGAGCGTGACTTCTGAAGCCAGTGTAGGGGGATGTGAATCCCGGCTCTGTCATGTTTTAACTGCACAAGCCTTGGGCAAGTTACTTACCTTCTTTGAGATTCTTGGACAAGTTATTTACCCTCTTTGGGATTTATCCCTATTTATCTGTAAAATAGGGATAATCATAATAATATTTACTCTTAAGAGCACCTGGGTTTGTGGTGAGGGTTATATGAGTTTATGCTTGGAACGCTGCTTGGGACATAATAAATATTAGCTGTTGTCACGCTTATGTCATGCTTGGTTATTGATACCTCTCTGGCTACCTTATAGGAGAGCTCAATGTAACAGGTGTAACAATCAAGGATGGATTTGTAAATTTTGTAAATAGCCTTTCATTTTGTCTAATTTATATAGAAACATTTCTTGGAGAAAATGAATACATTAGATTTGGAGATATTTCTACAAAAAAAAAAGAAATAATGCATCGACAAGTCTGGGAACTATATCTAGTACCTGGAAGAAAGATACTAAAGCATTGTTAGAGCTCAAATACGACTGGAAGGGCAGAGATGAAACAATGCTCCAGGAAAGTCACCTGCAAATCAGAGTTGTCACAGCAAATGAGGTACTAAATACATTGATTAAAGAGATACTCCCTTTAGTTAGAAGAGAAATAGCAATGAAACAGAATAAATTCTTTTCTCTTCCACTGATCCTCGGAAATGTGAGAAAGACTATGTGCCAAATTATGGCAGCATTCATTGAATGTCTATTTCCTAATGAAACAGAATCGCGAGCTGGTAAATGTAATATGAATTTACTGAAAACAAACTAAAAATATCGACAGTTATAAAATCGGTTGCTTCAAAAGAAGGTCTCTCTCCACAGATGCATTAACAAATGATCATACTTAACTACTTATAAATTCCTCAAGCTGAAATTTGGTCATGACCAAACTGCTTTTTTAAGATTTAGTAATAGAAGTTACTAAATTACAAGAATTAGTGAATTGAAGCATGTGTTTCGAATTAGTTGGACAAAGGAAATTAGTAACCTGGGAAAGACTTTCAATAATAAGGAGTAAAAAAGGGGCTTGAGAGCCAGATTAGAACAGGTTCTGTTGGTTTATAGTTGAGGAAACCAGCTTAGGTCATTGAAATGAAAAAGAGGACTATTGCACAAATGCTAGTTTAAGCAATGGTGGTCAATACTACAGAGTCTTCAGACATTAATTCCATGGATGAGAATTTTAGTTTCTTGAATTTTAATTCAATATAGATTAAAATTTTTCATTTTCAATCTCTTTAAATTGAATAACTACATGAAAAACCAATATCCCCATATTTGATATAAACGTGTCTGACTCTGGTCCTTTGTCATGAAATATAAAAAGTTCAGTCAAAATTACCTTTTCTTTGTGTAGCTCAGCAATAAGTGCAGGCTATTTTGAAATAGGAAAATATTTGCCAATATTAACGAACAGGGGAAACCAATGGGAAGAGAATGGAAGGAACATTTTGTGGTCTGAGTTCTGTCTAAGTGCAGAGTGGCAGAATAGAATTTACAGCTGTCCCTCTACAGGCTCCAATGTGCACGAAACTAGTTATTTTAGTATGGCAAAACTGACTATAAATTTGCATGCAACAGAAGGAGCTAATGAAGGAGGATTCGAAAAGTGGCCCACTACAAAAGAGACATGTATTATGTAAAAGAAGTGTTTCACTGCACTGTAAAAAAAGGAGTCCTTAATTGAAAAATCCTACTACAGCATGAAAATAGATTTCGCAAGTCCAGTGGATTATTTTAATGTAAATGAGATTTAAATGAATGAATTCCACCGCATTCAGATGAAAACATGCCATCTAATATACAACATAATCGAAGAACACCATTAACAATGTCATATAATTTTACATTGGATGAACAATTATTAAACATGCCCTACTTGGGAAAAGGACTCCCTACTGAATGTCTTAAATACTTACGAGTCCACGTGATTCTCAAAGGAAAGAAGAATCGGAAACGGTGAAGTCTTAAATGCACACTCAGCGATTGCTTCTATCACCTCCTAAAAATGAGAACACATGCACATTCAATATGCCAGAATTCTAATGTGTAGATTTTTTCTTTGGGGTTACATCCATTATGTGGCTATCTTTCTCATTCATAAAATTGTCTCAAATGGTCTGAAATGGCTGGAAGGGATTGTGAAAGCTGCTGGACTATAAATTTTCTGACTCTTAGCAAGGTATTGAAAAGAAAAATGAATTTTGGTGGAGGGGGTGATGCAACTGTGAAGGAGAAGGGTTCTTCTATTTGCTAATTATATCTACTTTTTAAAATAATGAAATAAATCTAATTATATTATTAAAATGTTGGACAACAAGAGAAGGCAAACATTTTTACTCATAAACTCATGCTTTGAACCAAACCACTGTTGGCATTTGGTTATATTACTCCTAGCTTGTTTTTCATGTATTTGTATAAGTTTTCACTATAGTAAGTGCTCTTTGTATTTTCAAACATTTTTATGAGATTTAATTTACCCATTTAAAGTGTACAATTACATGATTTTTAGCATATTCACAGAGTTGTGCAAAAACCATCCGAACCTAAATTAGGACATTTTCACCCCCCGCCCCCCAAAGAAATCATGTACCCATTAGCAGTCACTCCCCATTCCCCCACTCCCACTCCACACACCCAGCCCTAGGCAACCACTAATCTACTTCTGTCTCCATAGATATGTGTATTCCAAACATTTCATATAAAAGAACCATATGAACGATATGTGGCCTTTTATGTCTGACATCTTTCATGTAGCGTACTTCCATTCATCAATGCTGTAACATGTATCTGTACTTCATTCCTCAATCTGTATTTTAAAAAAGTGTATGTCATAAGCTTTAATATCTGTATAAAATTCTAGGGAGTAGCAGTATCATAATTGATTTAACCATTACCCAATTGTGGGACGTATTTTAAAAGTTATCATTGAAGTAATTGTACAAAGCACATCTTCATTTTTTCCTAATATTTGAATTATTCTGGGAATAAATTCTCAGAAGAGGAATTATTGAATTAAAGAATATGAATACTTTTGAAGTCTCCTGTGTGTCTCCAAATTCTTATCTTTGATTGCCTAGAATAATATATGAAGAACCAGATTTCAATGCTATTCACCAGCTTTGGGCATTATTTTTTCAAAATGTTTTTCTTATTGAACTGGTATTAAAGTACAATCTCATTACTTTTAATTATATCACTGTGAGTACTATTGTGGTTTCACATACTCAAACATTTGTTTTTAGTTGCATTTATTCTTTTCGTATTCTCTTTTCAAGTAGGAATGTCCACTCTCATTCCTTATGTCTAAGCCTTTCCCTCTACCTTCTCTACCTTCTTTAAACAATGCATAGCTTTCCTTACATCCAAGCCAGAAAGCTATTTCCCTGTCCCCAGAGTATAAATAAGGCTTTCTAATTCTGTGCTACATTTGCAAGAAAGATTTGCCTGCACGGAGCAAAAGCATCGCTCTCATCATTTTTTAGAAATGAATTCACAGATTGCCTTTCATACATCATCAGTTTAACTTTTATAATAGTTGATGCCATCAAAAATGAGTGCACTATAAATAGCGAGCTACACCAAGGTTTTAAATTCTTTATTTGATTTTTTTTTTTTTTTGAGCACAGGCTTTGGATTCAAACAGACTTGTGTTTGAGTCCTACTTCTTAGCCTTCCAAGCTGTGTGACTTTGGGAAAAATCACTTAATGCCTCTGTGCATTGGCTTACTGACTTGTAAAGTGGGGGTGATAAACTTCATTCCACAAGCCTATTGTGAGAATGCATTGAGAGAAGATAAAGAACCCAGCTCATGATGGGCATATATTCTCAAATCAACTACAATTTCTTACCTTGCTGGTGACTCCCTCCCCACTTACCCTAAAACTTACCTCTAGGCTCTTACTAATACAAACAAGAGCTACCATTAAATGAGCATTTATTGTGTTCCAAACGCATATCTTATTTCAGGCTATAAGCATTCCAGAAGAAAAATAATATCAATCATTTAACAGATTATAAAATGGAGGCTCAGAGATATTAACCAATTTGCCAAAGATCACAGAGAGAAGTACCTAGTAAACCCTATGAAAGTTTGTCTGACTCTAGAGTTTATGCTCTGAACCTTTGCAGTAACTTCCATGCAGCTAATGAGCTTAACCACATAAGATCAGAGCCCTTGAATAATTGAGAATGGATATCAAAAAGGAAGTGAGTGATAAGTGGATGAAAAGGGGAAGGGAGTATATTTTGTTTATTTAATAAATTGGCTCTATTGTGTCAGCTAAGGGCAAAACACATTAGAGCGATTCTTGACTTCTCTGTCTTTTACATCTTTTGATTCATCAGCAATCCTCCCCAAAATATATCCAGAATATAACCACATCTCAGCACTCATACCTCTGTCATCCTAATTAAAAAATCTTTGCAATAACTATTGTGGTAGATTTTATCATCATTTCTATATTTCACTACCTCTTTCTCTGAGATCTGTCAATATTAGGCATGGCCATTTGTTGGTTTTACCCAGTGAAATATGTGTAAAAATGGCATGTTCTGCTGCTGCACAGTCTTCAAGAGCCATTATGTGGTTCTGCCATTTCTCTTTTCCCTCTTTCACAAACCCAGCGATATCACAGATTGGGACTATTCTCTCCATATGGACTGCAGACAGTATCAGTCAGAGCAACAGCTAATGCCAAACCTAAGTGAGAAATAAATCTTTGTGGTTCTAAATCACTGAGATTCTGGAGTTTTTTGTTATTGCAGCAAAACCTAGCAAAGGCTGACTGATAGAGCCTTTTAACTGCTTTCCTGGCTCTTATGTTTGCCTCATGTATTATAGACCACAGCCAGAGTGATTGCTCCTAAACATGAATCAGATGATTTCACTTCTTTGGAGTAAAATTTTTTCATTGGCCTTCTATTTCACAGAGTGAAATACAGATTCTTTATCAGATCTGGCACCTGCTATCATTTCCTTTTCCTGTTCACTATTGCTTACCCTGATACAGTTTACCAGCCTTCTCTTGCTTTTCCTTGAATACACTAATTTCATCTCTTTGTTCATCTTTTTCATGTCTATGTTTATCTTTGTTGCTTTTGTCAGAAATACTCTTATCTGAAAGCAAAGCTTACTTCCGTAATGGGGGGTCTGTGTCTCTGCTCAAATGTCATGTAATCAAAGTCCTTCTCCCACCTTACTGCTGAAAATGGCCTACCTACTTCTCCTGCTTCTCCCTTTTCCTGCCTCTAGTGTTGTGCACTTCTGGTCTTGTGCACTTAAATGAAGACCTATGCTTGCAGTGGAGACTCCAAGCTCATATGCCATAGCCTTCTCAGCTCCCACTGGGTCCCTAATTTGCCACACAGTTTGGGCTTCTGGTCTCTTCTTAGAGGTGAAGTAGATGCTAGGGGTTCTGTGTGGAGGGCACCCACAGCCTCTACCACAGCAGCCTTACAAATGACTTAATTCAACCCCTGCCCTCACCCTGACTTAATAATGCCTTGCATAAATAATATCACAACCATTATATCTATAGAGAGAAGCTGAATTGTGAATTCTTAAATTTCAATTATAATATCAGTAGCTAAAATTTATAGCGTACTCACTGCGTGCCATGCACTGTTATAAGCAATGTCTGTATGTTAAGTAGCATCCTTAAATGCTGGTAACAACCCTAGGGAGGTGCTCCATTTTGCTCATAAGAAAGGGGCTCTGACTGGTAAGGGTGCTTCTCCAAGGTTTGCAGCCAGCGAATGGGAGAGCTGAAATTAGAACCCTGGTGTCAGCTCCAGAGCTGCTTTCTTACCCTCTACAGACCCTTTTCTCTGTTTTCCTCCCATGCTCTCTCTCCTCCCTCTCTCCTTCTCTACCATAAATTTAGCCACCAGCTTAGGAGAAACCTATTTGAATCTTTAAAACCAAAGAAAATGGTTACTGAATTTCGTCTAATAATTTTAGTGGGGAGCACCCGAAAACTCCAGAAGTTCCATTGTAGGATTTTTTTTTAAATGCCTTTACGATATTTTGCATAGTACCCATAATCCTTCAGGATGAGAAAAATAGTTACAAGTTTTAAGTTTCGTTCTTTCATATTTTGTTCTTTCATTAGTGGACACTGGAATGTGAAAGCACCTTACTGTGCAATTACTCCTTATTAAGCCAAAATCATTTTTCAGAGACTGTTAACACTGGATTCAATAATCTATAAACCATATGGCTCAATTACTAACCTCCAGTGGGAAAAACTGCCCTTGAAATCCTTTATCCTTGACAGACAACAGCAGGGTGTATTTGATATCCATTTTATGTGAGCATTTATGGAGCCGTTAAACTGCATCCTAAATTATTATTTCTCTCAGAGAATGAAGGTTTATTTTCAGAAATGCTCCATTTAACCACATACTCAAATTTAATATATTTTCACCATATATGTTATCACATTATACAGTTTTCCATCTTAAACGACTGTTGGTTACAAAGGAGCTACAGGAAGGGAGAAAAAGGAGCCCTTTGAAGATGGGGTGGGTGGGTGTCCACTGTTCGGAGGAAGGAGACCAAGTGGGAGCAGAGATAATGAAGACTGAGTGGCGAATTACTATGTCATGGCCATAGAACTGCTAAAGCTATGAGGCAAATAAAGAGAGGAGCAGCTAAACGGGATTAATAATAAATAAATCCAGAGTGCAAAATAAAAAGCCCTCCAGAAAGAGAGTGAATTACAGCATGTCCTCTTTCTCAGAACATAACCTTTTATTTTGGTCCATACAATAAATAAGAGGTAAATGCCAATAGGAACTTTAGCTTTGGGGGATATATCGCACAGAAGCTTTCTCGATTATATAGACCAAGAGCAGATAAACTATGTGACATAAAAATGACAAACTTCTGTAGTTAGTTCATTTTGCTGCTGCGATACATGCTGTGGAAATAGAATATTGTCTAAGTACACCATGAAGGTCAGGTATAAATATATGGAGAGTTAGGAGAATCTTTTCACTGCCCTCCAATATATTATACATGGAATTTCACACGTGAAAATAAAGACAAAATTCATTTATCTGATAAACAGAAGCAAGAAAAACTAAAAATGAAAGCTATGCTGTAATTTGTGTATTTGCTCTGGAATGAGAAAAATCACTTAAAAATAAAAAAGACATCTATTGAGCACCCACTATATGCCAGATTCTTTTCAAAGTGCTTGAGACAGATCAGAGAACAAAATAAAGATCCCTGTCTTTTGGAGCTTACATACTAGTAGAAGTAGACAGACAATAAACAAGGAACATAATAATTAAGTAAATTAAGCAGAATAGTAGAAAGTGATAAGTGCTAGTTGAGAAACAGAAAAAGTAAAGAGATGGGGGATTGTATCAGGAGTGTGGGAGTGGGCGTGGTGGCTGGTTATAGTATTCAATAGAGTGGTCCCAGTAAGACTCATTGAGAAGGTGGCTTTTGAGAAAGTCTTCAAGAAAGTAAAGGCGAACCATGCAGATACCTGGGGGAAGAGCATTCCAGGCAGCCTTGACCTGTGACGAGGCTGTGAGCAGGAGTGGGGTGGGGGGGAGTGGGGGGGCTGCCTACCATTGTCAAGGAACAGCAAGGAGGCCCGCTGAGTTGTAGCTGAGCGAGTGAGAGGGTAATTGGGGGAAACTTGTCCCTCCTTTCTCTTCTTATCCTTTCTTACAAAGTCACTGTACACGGCGGTTTCCAGAAAAGCAGAGCACACGCTGATAACCATGCAGAGCAGGACCGGGCCTAGGCAAGTGAGGTATCTAAATGCGAAATTTAGAGACACCATTCTCAGGTGACAACTCTGTATTTACATGACACTGAGAATAAGCGCCTCCCTAAATTTTTCAAGCAAGGTGCCTCCCTTGCTTCACCCTAGACCTAATCCTGATGTAGAGAATTCTTGCTCTGTTTATTTGTCCACAAAATAGGTTGGCATTTCTACTCCCCACCCTCATCGTTGCCTGCCACCTCCACTACTGCCCATATCTCTGCAAGAATGATCTATCTTGCAAAATGCAAATTAGCAAGGAGCATGGCTGGACAAACTGACCAACAGGGTAGATGGGTTTCCTGCCCATATCCCCAACACTGGATGGGAGAGAGAAGCAGCAGTATTCTGGGCTAGATCTAGTCTCTTAGTCTCTAAATCTGTCAGCAAGTATGTAGATGTGGTTGAGAAGTTGTGCTTCTAGAGCCCAGGAATAGATATTCAATCAGTTTGTGGCTCTGGGATCACAAATGTGATTGAAGAACCGCTTGTACTGTTGAGTGCATAGGGAGAGTCACTCTGAGCTAACTTGATCACCAAAGCCAAAAAGCCAATGTTTCACATAAAATAAAATAAATATGTCTTAGAATATGCTTGGCATTTATACACATCTCACTCTCCACCCTTCCCCCCATAAATCCCTGCAAAGGAACTCAAAGATTATAGATTATAGATTTAGGATTATAAAATTTTAAGAAAATATAATTGCCCCTCCCACTAATTGAGGGGATAGTTAACAAGGGGGTGGGTGGGTCCTCCTGGCACTGGGTCAGAGTACAAGGCCATCAGTCCCTTAGCTCAGTAATGGCTCTATCAGGATGTGCTGTCTCCCTACTTCACCAGTGGTATAATAATTAACTGCTTAATTCATCAGCAGACAGATGAACCTGAATTGCACTCACCTCATACCAGGGTTATCTGTCCTCGACTTTTTCTTAAACAGCCCAACCAGTTTAGGCTTGGTACCTTAGGTATCTAACAAAGGACAATGGCAGGAACTAGGAGGGTGACAAACTATGGAAATGAAATAAAAACCTATCGATTTTCCATTAAGAAAATCAAAAGACCTTAAGAGTGCTCAATTTCTAGAGCAGATACAAAGATCCTGATCAGAATTAAGGTCAACCCCATATTAAACTTTGTTGTAAAATTTAGTGAAGGGCGCTATTTTTCTCTAATTATTGTATCGTAGCTTAAATTTAAGAAATCATGATAAGTCAAACTCTCTAGACACAACAATACTAAACATGCTTTAAGGTGCTAATGATATTACTTCTGAACATGTTTTTATTGCTGTCAAGCACGGTACCTTTGATCAAGAAATCCACTTACCTCAACTAAAACCTGGATATCCCTTAAGAATCTTTCTTTTTTCACTGTTCCCTCAAGTAATAGCTGTTTATTTTATCACATTGCAAGTGCCTCAGGGCAAAATGCTGGAGATGGGGAATTATTTGCTATCAATGCTACTTCTGAAATAGTACTTTTCACACTTCTTATTTTAAAAAACAAACAAATATCCAGTCCTCGTGAAGCAGCCAAACACAATTTAACCACTTCCTCATATCTGCCATCTACTGAGCTCTCCTTTATTCAGCAAAGACTTTGGCAAGTGGCTCATGGTTGGCTTCTTCATCCAAAGTTTCGTTACCAATCTTGGTGATGGTAACATCTATATTAAGAGGCCCAATATTCTGGCCTCTTAGCACTCAATGGCTCTGTCCCACTCTACCTTAGCTACCCAAATACTTGGGCTCTGTTTCTTTGGTTGATTAGGGCAAGAGTTAGTGACCCAGAGCCAGTTTTTCCCAGAGACCCAGGTAATTCAGGTAATGGGGCTCATACCATGGGACTTGTGCTCTAGAGGTTGCCTTCTGGTCCTTCTCTGCTAATTCTCTTCGAAAGAGGTGAGAAACCTTAGTCAGCCAAAAAAACACGTCCCCTAAAGCCCACATATCCCCTTTCTAGATTACTTTGTAGGGTACCTAGGACTTCAGAGTTTCCCACTCAAATGCCCCCAAGCTCCTGAGGATGGCTCCTTGCAGGGGTATAAGCAGAACTTGGTTATTTGGGGTTGGATGTCCATATAAATGAATGTGAGGCTCTTTAGGGTGTATGACGGATGCCATGGATGGAACGAGAAGGGAGAGGACCAAACACACCCTCATTCCTGACTAATAAGAGTGGTTACTGGTTTTATATAAATTGCAGCTTTAGTCCTGCTTCTTAGATAGGACTTATTAAGATACCCAATCATAAGATTATTTCTGTTTCAACAGCATCTAATCTATAGCAAAACCTTACTTCCTTGAGCCTCCCCCACCATCACCTAATACAAGCTCAAATCTTGTAAGTTCTTTCTAACACATTTTTACTGAGACACCACAGCTCCCCATGACATGTGTGTTCTTTCCTTTCATAAGCCGATAAACCCAACTTTAACTACAGGTGTTTTCCTAGGAGTCTTTGACCTGTAGGTATCAATGTGCCAAATGCTGGCATATATTAGTCAATATTCCATTCCATCTATTACTATATAATATTCCATTCTGTGAACAGTAATCATTAATATCATTATTATCATCATAAAAGCAAACAAGCTAGAGATACATGCAATATTATAGATGAATCTCCTAAACGTTGTGGACTCAAAAAGCAAGACACAAAATAATGCATAGTACGGTATGAATCCATTTATATTAAGTTGAAAAAGGGTGGAACTACATTGTTTAGGGCTATACATAAACTAATACAGCTCTAAAGAAAAGCAAAGGGGTGATCACTGTAATGGTTGAGAAGGTGGTCATGTCTGGGGGTACAGGCTTCATTCTCATAGGCATGGGTGCACAGAGTGTTTCTGGGGTGCTAGTAAGTTCCTAAATGGTAGTTACATAGGCGTACATTTTATATCCATTAGGTAAACTGTGCAGATAAGTTGTATATATTCTTTGTTATGTGTGTTATAATTCTGAATGACTAAGAATGCTAAATAGACAAATAAATTGATATTTCTTTTCATAAGACAGTTTCTTTATATTTGGTTAGCATGAATCCGTTCACCTGATGCCGATTGCCCATGGATAAACTGCTAACTTTTAACCTAAATGTTAACTGTGCCATTCCTCTTTGGAATGGCAAAGATGATCAATGGCTTATGGACTTAATTATAACCACTGTGACTTTCTACCTTAGGAGGCGTTACCCTACAGGGTCCAGTCTCCCCAGCTGCCTCTCTTAGCCAATTCATTTACTCCACCTTGAAGGATATTTCGGTGGTCATGGTGAAGCCGTGGGTAATGACTGGCTCCTCTTCTGCAGTCCGTCCTTTCCAGCAGTCCAGCTCTACACAGCGACAACCAGACAGGAGGACTTGGCGATACATCTCCACAGAAGAGTTTCCAGCCAGCTGGCCAGCTGTAAAACACCAACAAAAAGGACCCCAGAATCCCATGAAGCCAGAAAGACACTGGTGGCTTCCTAGAAAAGTTTTTCAACAAAGGCAAACAAAGGGTTTAAGAGCTCGAATAGTTGTTTTCAGCCTTCCTTCTACCTCAACATACCAGAAGGTAGTGGGACAATCACAAATGTAATTGTGACTCCTTAGCAGTGGTTTGGCAGAAGAGAGAACATCAGAAAGAAAGCATTGTAACAATAACAATAATTCATGTTTAGTAACTTACCATGTGCCAATTATAGTTCTTTGAACCTTAATTGTTTTACTACATTTAACCTTCACAAAAATCTCTCTGGTATAACGACTTAAAAAAAAATACTTATTTTCAGATAGTGAAAATGACATCGATTATTTCATTCACCTAAGTTTCCAAAGCTGGTAAGTGGAGGATCGAGGATTATAACTTCAAAATAACCACTGTGACTTTCTACCTTAGGAGGCAGTCTTTTAATTCTGACTGACTTTCTATGAGGGAGTACTGTTGACAGGTTATTTTATTATGCAAGTCAACCCCCCTGTCATATTTGTCCAAGGCACAAATGCTTAGAAAAGATAAACATTTTCTTTTTAAAAGTGCTCTTTTATAGGAATAAATTTTAAATTTGACAAAAGAAGTGAAAAACATAAAATCTAATAATTATAAAACATTGTTAAAAAATTAAAGACAACCTAAATAGATCAAAAAACATCCCATGTTCATGGAGTGTAAGACTTAATATTTTTAAGATAGTACTACTCCCTAAATTGATGTAAAGTTTAATTCCAAGGATTCTAATAAAATAATTTTGTGATCAAATGTCTAGACCTTTCTGCAATTTGATCTCTGGCCCTGCTCAAATGATTAAGCTGTTTTGCAGTTTGAACTCTGACGACATGGTGAACTGCATTCCCTTTATTGTCTATTTCCACGAAACTTGTTTAACCAATTTATTTTGTAGACTCCAGGGGAAACTGAGGTCTTGGCCCATGCCTTGTGACCATCCCCACTATGTCTTATGACCCCAGCCTTGGCCATAGCTCGTGACTCTACCCACTGACCGTGAGTCAACAGAAACTGGAGATGACTCGTAGCCCTGACCAATCTTTATCCAGCTTGTACACACAGTTTGACTCTTTGCCCTGACCAATCCACTGCAAGAGGGGCTCTCTGTGGTTACTGCCCTTAAATACTCAGCTCTACCCTCCCCTCTTTGGAATGTACTTTTGGTCTATGCTGAATGCCACAAATCCCTGCCTTGAAAAGCATGTATGAATAAAACTCTCTTTTGCCTCTCAGAAGGGTCTTCTGGAATTTCTATTAACAATTCTTATCAAAATACTGGCTGGCTTTTTTTGCACAAATTGACGAGTTGATCCTAAAGTTAATATGAAAATGTAAAAAATCCAGAATAGCCAAAATGGTCTTGAAAAATAAGAACAAAGTTGGAGGACTCACATTTCCCAATTTCAATACTTAACTACGAAGCTACAGTAATCAATACAGTATGGTACTGGCATAATGATAGAAATATAGATGACTAAAATAGAATTGAGAGTCCAGAAATAAACCCCCATGTTCATGGTCAATTGATTTACAACAAGGGTGCCAAGATATGACATTGCAGAAGGAATCACCTTTTCAACAAATGGTGCTGGGACAACTGAATTGCCACATGTAAAATAATGAAGCTGGATCCCTATCTTACATCATGTATGAAAAACTTAACTCAGATAGCTTAAGTTTCTAAATGTAAGTTAAAAAAATAAAACTATAAAACTTAAAAATATATATATATATATTTTTGGTTTTTTTTTTAAACTATAAAACTCTTAGAGGGAAACATATTTGTGACCTGGATTAGGCAACGGTTTTGTAGACATGATACCAAAAGCACAAGCAATAAAGGAAAAAAATAGATAAACTTCATCAAAATTAAAAACCTTTGTGAACAGAACTAAAATACTCTAGCGAAGTGATGAGAATTGTAATAATCAAGGCACCCGAGAAGTCCGAAGGCAGAAATGAAAGCCAAACTATTTCTGTTTCACTTAAGAAGTGAATGGAAGGCACTAATTTCTTGATCAATTATTTTATAAGATTAATAATAAATAACTTCCGAGCCAAGGCCACCATCAACACACAAATGGAAGTCTTTGCTTTTCCACATTATAGATTTTCTCTGATTTATACTCCATAAGCCTCCATTGCTGTTGTTTTATTTTTTTTAAAAAGTCAGTTAAAAGGTGACATATTGATGAAAACTGTCAAAATGACTGAAATAGACAAGATCTGCCTGATGGAGACACACACAGGACAAGGAAAACGGGACTAAATTTACTGGCTTAATTTTACTGTTTTATGCATGTCACAACACCCACTATCGGCATAACAAAAGGATCTCATTCTTGAGTTCTATAGAGCCCTAGTAAATTCACTGAAAGAGTGATTAATGATAATCATTTTTCTCTGCTTGAAAAATAGGGCATTTTAAACACACAAATGTGTTTGCCAAGGAAGAAATGTTGACCAAATAATCTAGAAAGTTCCTGATGCTAGATAATCAATTTGCCATTTATAACTGCCTCAAAGTTTGTTGTAATAAAGGTCTTTTTTTACATAAAGGGAAAGGGGCCATGGGAGTGAAGGGGAAAAGATAGTTATTTACATGTTATTTGTAAACTTAAGGGAGGGCTATTTTAGCTAAGAGAAGTGAAGAATTCAAGTAGTTCCCAGTTTAACTCATTAAAAAATGATAGCTCCTGTAGAAAATTACACTGCTGTTAAAGAATTGAGCAGATCTTGTATACTATCTAGGAAATTGTTTAAGTGTATTTCCGACTATATCCAATACCATTACATAATGTGCAATTTCTGAGTTTATTTCTGAGTTTGTTGCCTGTTAACTAACTTTAGTAGGGAAGTTTCCATGGATTTATGAGCTAGACAAGGTTTAATGAAAGATTGAAGTAGATAAATTCTTAACCCGCATTAGTGCTCTGTCATGAAAGATTCAAAGAGTTTCTAGAAACATTTATTTGAATGTGCTTGTAATTTTTTTTAATGATTCAAAGAACAAATAGAAGAAATTTAGTGTATTTTTAAAATGTTGACTAGTTTATGTTTTTAAAAACACAGTAAGGCATGGGGTTGGGTTTGTGAAATGCAAAGGAATCTGAAAAAAAACCTAAAGAATGGGAGGGTAGAGGGGTGTGTGTGTGAGTGTGTGTGTGTTGTTTTTATTGTCCAACACCTAAACCCAACAGAGTTCTTCCAAAGTAAACTTGCTGTTCATTCTTATAATGAATAATCTTTACTAGAAATGGAAGTCTCCCAATGAAAGCATATTTTGAGAAAACTCACATATTTCTATAATTGTCCTATTCCTTGGAACACATATTAAGTTCCCTGTGTGTTTTTCTTCATTTATGGAAGGTTTTTTTTTTTGAAATATATGTATTAATATTTTTCATTATTCTCTCTTCTGCCTAAAGCCTCAAAGCTAGTATATTTTTCTTTCTTAAAGTTCTAACTCATTATTATATCCCATCCCCTCATTATATTTCCATTTTATCAGAGCCAATAAACATAGCTTTTGGGGGCCTGGGTATTGCTGGGAGTTGAGATCAATAATATCTCATGAGTCATTCAGCCTGTGTTATTTCTGAAACTAGTATTTGACATCATTTCTGCCTGGCTGTGAACACCCTCTAGAATACATTCCAAGGCTGTAATGGAACTTGGGAGCTGAAGTTCCATCTTAGATTAATTTGTAATACCGCCCCAAGTCATGGATCTGCAACTTCTCACTTGACTGCATTCATTTTGGGCAGCTGGATACATCACCTGAGCTTTGTCTCAGGTTACCCAAGGCATCCACGGATGGAAGACAGCAGAAAATTGAAAATTGAAAATAACAATCCCTCTATAAACACATGCTCCTGAGGAATTTCTCATCTTGCAAGGGTAATGACTATATTTATATTTAACATTATTTATTGTTTTCTCTTTAACCTCCAGTGTAAGAAGATTCCAGAATGTGATACATTTGTTAATTCAGTGACCTTCTTAAATAAATATCATCTCCTTCAATAAATTGAAATGGGGACTATTTCTCCTTGCTTTCAATGCTATGTGACCTTCATTCAGGTCACAGTCCCATGGCTACACTTGAGAAAACTGTCCAAAATACAGAGGCTGTGTTGTTCATCTTGACTATTTCGAGGGGCATCAGTTTGATATGATCTCTCTCTTCCATGGTGTCTGCCTGCTGCCTCAATGAGACCATGAAACTCTCCTGAATATAGATCCAAAACCAACTGCCATGAAATGGCTTAGGTAAGAAAGTGGGAAAACAACTTTAAGCATATGCTTTACTAATTATAGGAACCTCACCATCAGGGGCTGTGTATATTCCCAAACATTTTCTCTGTAGGAGACGAAATACTGGGGGATACAAAACTGTCATGAGATATGTTCCTTACCTTCACCATCTAGGTAGGGAGGCAAGTGTAAATAAAGGAGAAGGTTCTTACATGCCAGGGTAAACTCACCCCAATGTTATACTTCTGGTTGCTTTTTCTTTCTGCTCTTCCTCTTTCTTCTTGGTAACAGAACATTCTATTTAGGTTCTGACATGCTTCAAATTATCCTCCCCAGCACTAGGGTAAATCTTTATTCTTTTCAGCCAGTCACAGTAGTTCTGTGACCCACGTAAGTGGTTAATGTGGGCATTGCTGTGTGGTTTAACTCTGGTCTATATCTAACAGGGCATAAAGGAAAGTCTACTGGGTACAGCTGAGGAGACCTCACTCGTACAAAGGGTTACAAGACAGGGACTTTCCCTGTGCCACATGTGGATCTTATTTCATAGAAAGGCAAGGCTCAGGGTATACAGTCATCTTGAAATCATTAGGGAGCAAAAAGATGGAAAGCATCTGGGTCTTCAGTGACATCAAAAAATTCCTGATTTAATCAACCCCA